TAATGTTTTTCAAAACTCAATAAACTGCGACTTAATTTTTCTAAAACTAGCCACAAATGATATCAATTAGGATAATATCAAAAAATCCACACAAGAAGCATATATGCTAGTATAAGCTAATAATCTCTACTGATGATTCCAATCCTAGGACCAAAAACTGTCTAGTATTTCTTAATCTACAACAGTTTGCTATCTGAAGTTATTCAGTAATATAATCTGACAAAATTCAACAGTCTTTATAATCCTTTACACAAAAATTTGGTCATGCGCTCAATAGTGACAAACTTTGAAAAGTAAATTCTGAAATTCTATGTAAAAAAACAAAACTACTGGAGTCCAACCACTCTAGGAGTGAGACAACTGTCGATGATGATTGAAAATAATATCGCAAATAGACTGAAGTTAGAAATTTGAACCATTAAACGACAATCCAATGATCTTAAGGTTGGACTTATATATATAGATCAATCACTTCTATTTAGCCTATCGAATTCTGTTGTTAATAGATTGGATATACATTAAATAATTTATTAACAATCATATTTTAAAAATATTTTATTCATTTCATAATGCTGGTAGAGTGACATTTATTTATTTACCAATTAAAAATTAAATTTAGACTGATTCTATCTCATTATCGAATAATCAATCAATTAAATTTTTGTCCAGAGCAAATCTAACATTCCACTTGGTAACCTGGTCCAAGTTTTTTTTTCAAAAAAATATAGACTGGTAGGTCCTGAGTTCGAATCTCACGAGGCAGGATCGTGGATGCGCACTGCTGAGGAGTCCCACAATAGGGCGAAACGGCCGTCCAGTGCTTTCAGGTTTTCCAGGGTGGTCCAGCTTCAATTGACTCGTGATTTCAGCTATATATAAAAAATATAAATTATTTTTTTTATATGTGGATTTATTTGTTCCTACCATTTATCGATTGTTGTTGTTGTTTTTTTCTTTTTTTCTTTCTCAAAAGAAGATCAGAATTAATCAAATTTAGAAAATATTAAAACCTTTCATAGAATAATAAAACTTTAATAGGTAAGTTTAATTTAGTTGAAAATTATTTTTTCAGATTATTTATTCTATTCTGTTTTTCGATTATTGATTTTTATAGGTAATTGTTGATAATTTTCTGATAAAAAAGTTTATTTATTTATTTTTATTCAAACACATAAATATTGGTACAAAGGGGCACCAAATATATATGAGCTACACAAATCTCATTCGATTTGTGTGAGGACTGTAATACTACCACCCAGGTGCTCAAACTGAAGCAGGTGGTTTTCTTAGGGGACCACACTCGGAGCCTTTGACCTAAAGATCTGATCCACAAGGCAGTGGAGCATCGTAAGGAGATGCAGTCCCATGGTAGCCGGTGACCAACAATTGATTCATACACCATTTGTTCCCTAAAGATACTGGAGCCCATGTGCACCATTTGTGTGGAATCAGGGTTTTCCAACTCACCTAGGGGGACCTTTCCTGTCCACCAACACGGTTAACGCGCCGGAAATTCGCTTTCTGTTCTCTCGATTTCGTGAACAACACCCCCAACACGAGAAGGCAATGAGTAGGACTTCCCTGGCAAATGATATATTTGCGTGGCCATGTGAGAGCATTCGGAGAGGGAGAGCAGACTCTCCCCACTCTCGATCGTACCAGGGCATTTGGGGGCAATAAAAAAATACTAATTGAGTACAGAAATAATATTTCCCAGTTAATTCTCTAACATGTTACCATGCTAATATACTTAGGTTGTTCAATGAAATATAGAACTGATATCAATGTAAAGATAGTTCAACTTAAAAAAATTTATTTTAATATATTTCCTGAATAGATGCAAAGAAAATTAATTTATTAGGACAGATGTCTCTAGGAAAAAGTTAACCATTGTCTTTCAGTGTTGCAGATGGAATGAAGTTGAACTTTACCACCCTTATATACTGGTGCAATTGTCTACGGGTTAAGTGTTCGCGCACAAGACCGAATGTCCTGGATTTGTTTCCTTGTGCATGATAGTGGATGTGCAATGTTGAAAAGTCCTATACTAAGACGAAATGTTCATCTAGTGCTTTCTAGTTTTAAATGGTGGTCCAACTTAGAAAAGGTTCATGATTTCAATAAAATTCAATAACCTGATAATTAAAAATTAGGACTGAAAAGATTGAACGTAGTGAACCCTCAACTAAATCTCAAGTTAGTTGGTAGAAAATCCCTACAAATAGCGTGAAAGATATTCGCTATAATGAAATTGGAAAACGATTTGCTGAAATTGAACATGTTGATATGAAAGATTATGTGTTCTCCATGGATTTGTGAGGAAATCCAAATAAGTTTCGGATTTGCGGGTAGTGACACGAAACTATTGTTAAAAAAGCGAAAATATTGTGGCCTTACTATGTAACTTTCCTTGAGTCTCAATGGTTGTTCAAATGATATTATCTTGTAACTTCGATGATAAATGCTTCCCTCTCCTTAGAAAAAGCGAATAGATTCTTAAGCATTGTTGCTAACTTTACTAGCTTTGACGGACAATACTAGCTGAAGGGATTTGGTCAAGTATCATACCCATGCATTGGCACATCCTACGTGAGGCATTTCTCTCCCTCTTTCTTCTCAGATTAGTAGTAACACATTTTCTCTCGCCATACCTAACCTAAAATATATTGTTTCTCCTGACCACAATCACCTTCTTTCTTGCTTTCCCTAAAATCATAAATCTTACGATATCTGGAAAATAGCATTGGCAGATTCTGTTGTATCCAGAGTATCTTCATAACAATTGGCAACACTAGATTGTATTATATGGTAGTCGAAGTTGATTTTCATTAGCTGTTTAGTATTCTGTTTGTAGTCTTAATGACCATGATGAGACGTGCTAGTTACTGCATCTTTATACGAAGTGTACGAGTATTATAATTAATCATGAAAGCACGAATTTTCTTTGGTTATGTCATTTACATTAGCTAGTTCTAAGTGCTTTATTTAGTTAAGTGTAATTTGTATTCATATATTGATTTAAGTTCACATCAGATTCATTCAGAATGATATCTAATTTATAATACTTTAAAACTTAGAAATGAAGAATGAAATTCTGTAACTGCAGTTTATTTAGGAGAACGAAAGTCGTGTAGATAAAATATGCTCCATACAATCATTCTCAACTCAGGATTTTAATTTACTAGAATAATACGTACATATTGAACACTATTTTGAACATAAAATGACTTTTTCATTAAATTAAATAAATGATCAAACGACTGTTGAATCGTTTAGGAAGAGCGCAATCAATGCTTCTAGCATGTGATTTATTTCCTGACTAATTATTCAATTATTATGACAACGGAATTCCTATTTCAAATAATGGAGACGAAGAAGAAATCGATGTTACTAACCAAAAACTAGTCAAATATTGATCTATGTTATTACTAGTCTAAGTAAGTTATTAACATGACTCTCTAAGGAATGCATAGTCTGTAACACTTTTATCAGGTACTTCTTTAGTGAGGTAAAACCACTAGTTATGAGTTAGATTTAACTGATACAAACCTGGTGATTAGTATGAGTAATATAATTTCTAAGAACAATGATATCAAATTTACTCTGTTAAGGCTTAATTTATAGTGCCTTTGACATTTGTGACCAGCTGATATATATGCACCCTGTGTGAATTCCTTTGCTATAACCATTATGTCATAAATTTCATTTAAGAAATGGATTCTAAGAGGCTGACATTAATCCATAAGATGGTAATAGAAAATGTAAAAAATTTAAAAATGGAATAGAAAATCTTCGAAAATTGCAAATGGTAAAAGATCCCGCCGTTTTATTCAACTCTAGTCAAGCCAGGATGTGGGTTTCGTACTATTTTGTACTCATCAGCTGAACGTAATTCTATTTTGGTGTTGATGTTTACACAGGAACTCAAACCTATTACTTTTGATTTCAAACACTCAATATGTTGTCTACTAAGCTATTGAGTCTAGATAAGCATTTAATTTTTGATAATTTGAATTATCTCAGGGTTGATATTTTGACTGAATTTCGATCAGTTTTGGCTGGAATATGAGGATCTTTTATGAAACTTGTGGCAAAATGTTCAGACTGAAGTAATCAGCACATAATGAGCTTTTATTGTATGTGTTCAATTATACTTTAGTCTATGAAGCCATTGAATGCTGAATTGATTGTACCAAGATATGGAAATTTTTTATTCAAGGGTTGCTGGGATAATCATAGACTATGACTGGAAACTTTTTGTAATATGGTTGGGAATGATGAATGTATTCAGTCCTTATCTTCATCTAGATATTGAGTAGTTGTATTACTTTATACTTATTATTTCCTACTACCATTTATTCTTTTTAAACTTATTGTGTTTGGTTGTCCCCTGGTACTGACACTTTCACTAGTTATACCATTACAATTTATTTCTTGTGAATTTTCTGCCCCCAAAGTGATACGAAGTGAGATGACTTGGGTCAGTGGACATTCGATCGAGTTCCTAGAGTTTTTATGATTGACTGGACTTCATTTGGCATTGCGATAGTAACAGAAATGCTTGCGTTTTTATGGTGCTACAATGAATGTTTAAGTCACTGGGAATGTGATCATAGTTAGTTTAATTCAAAAATACTAAATGTTTTATTCCATTTAACCAAGTTTGTAGTATCTTAGTTGAAGTAGTTTACAACTGTTCGTAATACTGATGGTATGGAAGTAAGTTTCATCACGAAATAATCTTTTGAAAACTAATGAACAATAAACAATTATTTCGTTCGGTGAGAATATCATTTATGGTTGACCATTCAATGATGTTAAAGTGACCTTGAAAATAGTTACTTACCTAAGAGATGGTTGTAAATTAGTAAGAGGGATTAGGATTACAATTTAGAGTTAGACGTCAGGGTTAGGAATTGTAGTTAGTTTTTAGACCGCGAATGGATATCAGCTATAATGTTAACATACTATTTCTACATCTCGTTTCTAGGTTTTTAATGGTGGTCTAACATTCATCGATTCATGATCTCAATCAAGAACTTAACAATCTCTACAACCCCACACTGATTATTGAGATATGTTGGTGTTCTCAATCTTCTTTAAAGCTGAACACATAATAATGCCTGATTGGATAATACAGTAATTGCCGGTAAAAACTCTAAAACACAAATCCATAATTTGAAAAATCAATAAACGGTATAGCTTTTAACGAAAATTCCTAATCTTAAATAAGATATTGTACTAAACAACCTTTAGTAAATGACGTCTTTATTTAAGTATCGCTTTGCTTTAGTTTACTACATTGCCTAATATCTCAATCAATCAGCAGGCCATCACAATGCAGAATAACGAACAGGATGAAGATATCGTTATATGGACAAAATCACTACATAAATCAATAAATAGTCTAAATATTCATCAACTGGAAGATATTTTAATCAAATTAAACACAACAAAGGGACTGGAATTTACAAAAAATGTCATAAATCATTCGATTAATGGAGAAAATTCAGTTTATGTCGCTGTAGAAGCTGGATTTGATCAGGCGGTAAGACTAATTTATTAGTGTATACATATAATTAAGTGCTTTGCAAATCTGTTTATCAAACTGGAAGTTAGAACCGGACAGTTTGACCGAATACTCAACCTATCTTTACATAGAACAAATTCATAGTAAGCTTGATACTGTATGTGATCTTCAAAGGTGTTCTATTGATTGAAAATGTTTTTCTTTATCTCAGATTTCTTTGGTTAAGGACTCGTAACAAAATTGTAACCGAACGATGCCTAAGAATTAAAATTTTTTGATTCAAATGGAGATAATTTTCAGTTCTACTTTCTATTTAGACGACATTTTGAAAGAAATGGTTTGTGTAGTCACGTCAATCTTCAATTTGTTTAAGTCCCATGGAGTAATTCGTTTGAATTGAGTATATTGACTGTTTACATTAGTAACAATAGGATTTGTATATTTGGTCTATCTATTTAAGGGTGCCTGAATATCGAATGAGTTACAACGGATCGTAGCTTAATCCATTTATTTTGACCATAGTTAGCAAATATTATCTCCAACGTTTAAAAAAATAAGTAAGATTAATGTTAAAGGAGATCTGTGACGCGATTATTCATTTTGAATGCAACAATCATCACCGAACTATTGAAAGCCAGAGTGCACTGGCGAACTATCTCATCATAGTTTGAGGCACCTAGACAACGTGTACAAAAATCCTATTTCATTAATAATCATGAGCTCACCAATTACTAGCTTAGTTAGAAAAGAATTGGAAACCCCAAGTTTAATGTTGAATTCTTGCCAAGGGTATGATGCAAACCATTAAGTAGTTCCAATCTAGAGCTAAATACCTATTTAATCATGACTAGTTTTCACTGGTTCTCCAGTTGCTCTCAATCAGAACTGGAAACCATCTTAAAATAAGTTTGATTCACTGAGTACTACAGATCTTTGTATGTAGTTAATGACATATTTTCTTCCTCTTTCTTTTTCCAGTTAGTAAAGTATTCAAAGTTAGAATTTCTCATCTCTATTTATGGAGGTGAACAGTTCGATTATTGAACATATTGTAGTTTCATTCATTTTTGTGATATTCCTTGTTATTACAAACTTTCTAAACACATATCGACTATTGCTGTTATTACTAAGATGGTTGACGAATCCGTTGTCGTTTACTTTTATAAAGGCATGATAATTCTTTTTTAAAGTAAGATATTTCCAACAACCAGCAATTTATACTGAATGGGATAAAAAAAAATCATCTGAAAACCATGTATCTTTTACTCGAGTGTTGTGGATCAGTAGTGCATGAATTCGATTGTTTTGTTTACAACAGATAAATTTATTGGTTTATACTAAAAATTTTAGTCAAAGAGAATTCTAAGTATTGTATCTAATACGTTGGTACACATTAGCTAATGGCTACAAAGTCAACAAATATACTTAATGTATTAAGGTGTAAATTTTGTTGTGATTACTCTTGCATGTCATCTTCAGAACGGGTCTTCAATAGAACATCTAGATTATTTAAGGTGTTTTGCAAATTTTTGGCTTTCTAACTAAAAACCGATTTTGAATAATGGTGATGGGATACATGTTCATAAATCTGCAAGGTATCTGTTTCTCAAAGTTTAATAGGTATTCTATATCTAGCATTCTTTTTCTTTCATTTGGTGAGTGAATACTGCACATGAATGCTTAATATTCACTCAGGATTTCATTTCAAGCTCCAAGTTCATAATTTTTGCTTTTTTTATACTCAACAAGTTAGAATGCTCTACAGTAGTATACATATAATGCTCTTATATGTAGCACTGAGACATTAAATGAATGGTGAGATGCTAAAAAAATGCCATATATTGCACTTTTATTGAACATCACAAAAGGATGATTATCTCCATGTGAATAATGTAGTTTGTAAATTAAGTGCAATCAATTGAAGAATATCATTAAAAGAAACTAGAAATTCATTCGTATTTCAGAAGACTTCACTTGGGACAACTGATATTAATCTTTGAAGATATAGTATCATTACGCCATACCATTACCCGATTAGTATTATTTTATTGTTCTATATTACATACATACATATTAGTGTAAAGCTATGACAAAAAAAATTAACTGAAAAGAAACTTCTACCTTTTTATTTGCTTTGTTTACCAAATGTTTAAATGAAACTTTTCACTATACAAAGATATAAGAAATCAATTAGTAACCGTCTATACATAGATAGTTTAACTGATTATTGATGTCAGTTCTTCATATAAATTTTTTTTTCTAAATTGGTTATTTCAATGACCTGACCTTAAAGTTCACAATCAATTGAGTAGGTTTCTAGATTTATTGATTAGTTAATTATTTATTTATTAAGCTTTTGAATCTATGAAGTATAAAGCACAACTATTACTACGTTTATGAGTTATAGACTCTTTTTTGCTTCTGTGTGATAAACGCTTTACATTGTACAGTTTAAGGGGACAAAGTAACATTCAAACTAAATTGAAATAAGAAAATTTATAATGATTAAGAGTTTAAATGGTTGAGGTAAATCATCCACGATATATTGTAAACTCAGTTTTAAATTAGCGTAAAACAATTCCAGTGTTTATATAATGTTGATTTGAATAATCAACTTTGAATAATTAAAAAGAAAAGCATTTAAACAATTTATTTATTTTAGTTAGTATGATATGGGTTGTATGCTGGAAACTCTAGAGCTTTAAAATATAGAAACGACTATCTAACACATAGGTATCATTACCAAGTTTTGATTTGATAATTTTGAATAAATTGAGCATTGGGTAGATTGTTATAAATAAATAAATAAATATATTTGTAATATCCCAATGAGTAGAAAAATTAGATTTTCTGATGTTTCGTGACTCTCTGAAGAAGTGGCTTACACTGAGTCACGAAACGTCAGAAAATCTAATTTTTCTACTCAATTGGACATTATAAATATATTAGTTTATTTATCTAACACATAGATCATTTTAGTATAGTTAACTGGAACTTTTAAATGCAAGAAAGATTCCTGTTACTGTTCAAAATTACAAATTCCACATTACCGGATGCTTTGTTTTTTTCAATTTTATCTTTTCAAGTACTGAATAGATTTGAAATATTTAACATTTCACTAACATAATCATCCGGTCTTTTCAGTTTGAATTTTATTCTAACAGGTTAGTTTAGTATACTATTTGTCCTTAGTAGGCTTCATGAGTCTGCATAAATTTCATTTTGTTTAAAAATATGTTCATTCTAAATAATTTCAGGTTACACAACTCTTGAATACAGATATGGTGAATATTATCCAAAGAAATCCTCAAAATAATTGGACAAGTCTACATCTGGCTTGTCATTTGGGACTGGCAACAATAGTCAAATCACTTTTAAATTGTAACACATCCAATAAATTCATACGAATAAATGAACTGCATCAGTTAATATGTATGCAAACAACTGAAACTGAATCAACTAGTCAAGGCACAGCTTTACATTTGGCGGTTTATTCCAAAAATATAGAAACAGTAAACCAACTATTACATGACATTGATCTAATAAGTAAATGTTATGAAAGTCAGTGCATTGAGAATGGGAAGCAACCTAAAGAAGCGATGAATTCTAAGGGGAAGTTATTGGACGAATTCTGTGTACTGACAGATAAAAATGGAAATACGGCACTACATTGTGCAGTAATGGATAAACTGTATGTTTATGAACTTACCATTTTTTTAGTTTGGAATTTTTATTGTTTAATTTATGAAGTAATCACCGAACCACGATTGGAAAATAAAGTGCTGGTTGAACATTTTTAATCCGGATTTGTGATTGATATACCGTATTAAAGCTAATTTACATAATAAATACAAATATTATGGAATGAAGTCAGTTTTAGGCAGCGACCTGATCATATTCACTTAAATGATAAAGCAGATTTGGTCAGTTATGAGAAATCTGGAATTTTTACTATCTTTTAGGTAGAATTACCAATTGTGTCTGATAAGTCATTAGAATACTTATCATAGTTAAACGTAGTTTAAGAGAAGTGAGAGGTGATTGCGTAGCTTATTGTGATTTATAATTGTCGAGTAATATATACTTCTAAAACACCCTAGTCTGTGATAGACTTTCTTAGATTTTAGGCTGGGAAATATCATCATTTTTCTGAACGTGCTGAATTATCAAGTCGGTTTTCAGTAATAATTGATAATTTAGGGAATCTTATGAAATTAAGGAAAGTTTATATTAACATTTAAAATAAGTCGAAGGAATATGAAAATCTAGAAAATCAGTAGTGGTTTGTTGAACTATTCTGGAGTATCAATATGCCGAATATATTTAAATGCATTTTAAGTATACTTGTTACGTCTAGCCGATTGGACGCTATATTCGCTTCCCTAAGCTAGTTCCGTACCCCCGAGCTAGAACTATACACCGACTTGAAGACCAGAAAAAAGGCACAAAGTATGAGGGAAGCACTTTACTACAGGGTTCATTTATGTACAGAAAATATGGGGATTTTATAGTAATTCAAGAGTCCTTGAGTTTTACCGAAAATTCTAGAATACTGCTAAACATAGTAGCATTGTATAAATCAGCCAATCAGGATCTCCACATGTGACTTTTCCATTTTCGTTATTTTAGTAACATAACTTCACATAACTTCTAATTAATCACTGATTGGTTGAAATGCTCCTCGATGACCCCTGAGCTTGTTATGTCGCTTGCGAGAAAAATGCAGGGTCATCCCAACAATACTCTAAGACATTTTTATAAGTTTTCCATCTATTTGCAGTGTATATTACCTGGTAAAGATCTGATGTAATAACATATGAGACGGTCTACAATATTTGTATTAAAACAAAGCTCTACTTTAATCTATTGGGGATTAATAGACAACGCTATGTTAAATAATTAGTGGTCCTGGCTGAATTTTATCATTAATATAAAGGGTATATAGAGGATGTGGATTTATTTAGATTATGTCATCAGATGACCTTAGTTAAACAACCACTGAAAACCTTGAGGCTCTGAACGGTCATTTCATCCTAGTATGAGACTCTTCAGCAGTACACGTCTACAACTCCAGCTGTGGTTGAACCATGAACTTGCAGGACACGCATCAAAAGCTGAACTTTTAGACTAGTAGTTCGGGATTCAGTTTAAATATCAATGAACTGACTGTTTAATATTTTTCAATTTTAAATAATTATTTGACTAATTTAAACTTGTACTGTAACCTAACTAACTAATTTCAATCCGAAATGTTTAACCTGACTAATTAAAAAAAGTTATCCTACTTGTATTTTTTCAGTTACGATATAGTAAACACAATCTGTAAATATCATAACAAATCCATTCGTTTACCCAATAAACATGGTTATACATGTATTTATTTAGCTAAAAATATATTAAAAGATGTAAAAATGGTATCATTATTAATTAAATATTCAACTTCATCAATAACTTCAAGTAATCCTGGACACCATTCATTTAAACAAAATAGTTTAATTAAAAGTGCAAGAGTTTCATGTATGAATCAGTTAAATAAAAAAGATAATAAGAAATCACGTTCTAATCTTATTAAAAAATCAGAAAATAATGGTAATTATAAGAAATTTAAAAAATTTAAATATCCATTGAATCATTTAACAATTGATCAATTAAACAAGAATTTGAATTCTAAGTATATAATTACTACTAATAATAATAAGAAGAAATGGTATGCCTATTCATATGAAGATGAAGAGAGTCATTCTGTTCGTACATTATCTACAAAAATTTCATATTTATCAATGCAACAAAAAAGTAAAAAGTCGTATAGACCATTTAGTGGATTATCTGGTAATCGTGTAGATTTGAATGAACGTGAATTCAATAGAAATTCTCGTCAAAATATTGAACAAAGTCATATTGAGAATATCTATTGTGGACAAAATAGAAATAACTCAATACAATATAGTAAGTGATATTAACTTTAATTAATCAGCTATTACATATAACGTTCTATAGTGGCTAGCAGTGGAATCCAGGACGCGCGTTTCGTCCTACTTGGGACTCTTCATCTGGATGTACCTGTATCTCAGAGTTGATGTTCACTCTGTGACTCGGACCCAGTACCTTTCGCTTCAAATGCCATCGCGTTACCCACTCAGCTATTGACTCTTGATAGCCACTTGGTTGTGCAATGGGGTGAAGTTTAAATTCACTTGGTATTGTTTGTTTGAATTTTCCTATTGATTCTATTGCTAGCCACCATCTATCTTTGCTTATAATGCTTGTCAATTGAGGCAATATCGAGGCAATTCGCACAGTATGCACATATGCCAATAACAGACTGACCAGTTGCAATCCTAAACATCAGTGGGAAGATTCAAACAAACAATACTAAGTGAATAACGCTCTTTAGTTTTTTAAGTTTAGTTAATTTGTTTGCTATTTATTTAGATAAACACAGAGTTTAGTAATGTCAGTCTTATACAAAATAGTCTACTATTTTATAAAGGCATTCTATTTTGATGAACTCCTTTCTCCTTATTCTATATAGATTTTGGTTTTACTTAAGCAAACTTTACTCATTGAACGTTTTTAACAATAATCATGCATATTCATTCATTTAAAGTTTAAAGTTATGGAATGATGAATATTATCTATATAATTTATAAAAGAATACTTGAGATAATGATGTATCTTTTCGTAACATCTCTGCGAATTAATTTGAAGTAAATCCAACGTTTCGCCTGACAATCTGGTCCAAGCTTTTTCAAGGAAATATATATTCTGCAATCGTATCAAATTATCGAAGAAAATGTAGTTCCTTGAAAAAGCTTGAACCAGATTACTAGACGAAACTTTGGATTTACTTCAAATTCATTCGCTGAGATTTTACAAATATATTATTCCTACTTAAGTTTCCTATTCTCTCTAATTTAGATGAAAGTTCTTAGATGTATCTTTTCTTTTGGAATATTTTGTGGTAGATATTTTATTATCAGCTCCGACAAAATGGTAATGAAAAAAATATTTTGAATAATAATTTCGTAAGTAGACAAAAGTGTATATCCAAGTGACCTGAAACTTACTTACTTACTTACGCCTGTTACCCCTCGTGGAGGAGCATAGGCCGCTCACCAGCATTTTTGATCCAACCCTGTGCTGGGAAATCCTTTCCAGTTCCTTCCAGTTGTTATTCATCCTTTTCATATTTGCTTCTATTTCCCGGCGTAATGTGTTCACTACCCTTCTTCTTTTCCACTTCCCTTCCGGATTCCAAGTTAGAGTTTGTCTTGTAATGCACATTGGTGATTTCCTTAATGTATGTCCTATCCACTTCCAACGTCTTTTCCTAATTTCTTCTTCAGCTGGAAGCTGGTTTTTCCTCTCCCATAAAACGCTGTTGCTGATAGTATCCGGACAGTGAGTGTTGAGTATTTTGCGTAAACAAATGTTTATAAATACTTGTACCTTCTTGACGATGGATGTAGTAGTTCTCCACGTTTCAGCTCCGTACAGTAGGACTATCTTGACGTTCGTATTGAAGATTATCACTTTAAAATTAGTTGACAGTTGTTTTGAGTTCCATATGTTCGTCAATTGTAGAAATGCTGCCCTTGCTTTACCAAACCTCGAAGTGACTTTGAAACCAGTTTTTTTTCACTTGTTAGTAACTTTATAGTCATATGGTTATTTGTTCATTCCTAATTTAAATATTAAACTCTATGAAAACATATCGATTCGTTAATGATTCAATTGTATACAATAAGTAAAACTTTGACAATGGAATGTAAAAGCATGATATTGGCTATTGAGTAATTACCTAAATTTAATGGAAGGACATTGAAAACAGATATATATATATACACACACTTTTTCGTTGATTGTATCAAAGTTCATACCTAATAGAATCAATCAACTGTTTGTTTATATAGATTGATTTTCAGGAAAAATGATTGATTTATCGATTATATAAAATTTATAAACAATAAACTAATTAAAGTGTTTATATTCAGTAGTTGTTTTTCATATTGATAAAGAATTATTTTTTGATTTTGATGGAGTTTTGTTCTCTGAGTTAGACGGTTTAGTCGTGGAGCTTTCATTGTTCTCATGAACGATATTATCAGCACTGTTTTTAGTTACTAAAATCAAGAATCTATAATATACCAAAAAAAAGTTCAGACTGTCGTTGGTAAACAAATAGTTTATACCTAATAGCACTAGGTTTAATTTTACTAGCCGTCACAGAGGCAGATTTCTGCAGTATCTCAAACTAGGCTTAAAAAATTGTCCAGTGTTTTTCACTTCCCAATAGCTCGTCAACCGAATTCACTTTATAATAAAAAATGTTTTTAAATTGGCAGATCTTCGTAAACCCCTCAGTTCAGTCATTATGTGAGATGACTGAAGTTAGTAGCTATGACTCAAAGAATTTTCAAGGAAATGCAGAAAAATATTTTGTTTTAAAATTTTGGACTAACTGATGTTTATTTGTCAGTTTAGGGTTGTGGAGATAGTTGAACGTCATTGGAACCTCCACAACCTTATACTAACAATTATCGTGTGCTCGCTAGTGATTAACTCTGAGAGTTTTCTGGGTTTCTAGATGAAAGCCGTGACCAGAGGAGATAAACTGTGTCGGGTACGAGTAAGGTACCCATCAAAGACAATAGAAGATAATCGCGCACTACCGTGGACTGACTGAAGTTTAATGAATCGGCTTCCGAGAACTACAATGGAGTTTCCAGAAGCCCTAAAGGAGCAGAAGAGTTTCCATCCAATCGAAATATGATGGAACTCTCTAGAATATCAACGTGGCATGCTACTATTGGACAGTAGCATAATATGTCTCTTTGCGCATTGACCGAATCATAATGTTGATTTAACAAATGCTAATATCTATAAATACCCGTGATTTTCTGTACATTTCGATTCTTATCAATTAAACACTTCCCCAGCTTTTCTTATATCTTCTGATTTGCGACCGTTTAACGTTCGAGTGTCGTAGTCGTAACTGTATTCTGAGTTATTCAAGTAGCGAACTTAACAGTTAGATTTGTGTAGCACTGTATCCCAACTCAGTGGTCTTGGTATTAAACGTTCGCTCACGTAACCGAAGGTCCTGGCTTCGACTTCCGCATGCATGGTCGTGGATGTGCACTACTGAGGAGTCCCACACTAGAAAGAAACCGCTGTCCAGTGCTTCCAGATTTTTAATAGTGGTCTAAATTAGATCGGTTCATGATTCCGATGGTGTTTATTCATTGAGATTTACATATCATATACGTATTGATTTTACATTGAGTTACCCATAACATATTGACAGTACAAAAAAAAATATCTACTAGAAATACTAAAATAAGATGAACTAACCATGCAGGTACTTTTACAGTGCCTTTGGAAGTAGAACACAGAAACAAATTGCCAAGAGAGTGGTTCATCAAAACTCAGACCGGGAGTAAAAATAATAGATACCTTTCGAGAGGAAATTTAGTGAAGAGTAATGAACATTTAAGATTATTAAAAAGAAATGATAAAGTGTTAAGAGATATTATCGGTGTTTTAGAAATTTAATCATCCCGAAATAATTCCCTATCTCAAGTGATTATCAATGATAATTTACAATGACATATTAATTAGCTTTGATTAGTTAGTTGACTGAGTAAAATCTGATTCTGGACTTAATAATACTTAATAGGTTTAAGCCATACGAAGTGAAGTAACCGTGGAAATAGTTCATATTTTTTACACCAGACAATATGATTTAATCTTTTAATAAAACACAATTATTTTGTCACCTTTATTAAGCAATTGCTTATATTATTAGAGAGTTTACTAGAAAAACCCTAGCTTCATTGCTTCCACAAGCTACTAAGTTTGAATTGGTTGGAAATCCGAAGCCAGTCGATTTCGAAAATTTGCCACATATATTTTCAAATGCTATCATCGTTTGTGTATAAATACAAACTTTTGATTCATGATAAATTTATACGGTATCTTATAAATCTGATTAAATTCCCTTCTCACACTTTTTACAACCAGATGGCTCAAATGAACCATGTCTTGCTACTTGCAAAAATAATATTCCTTTCGCTACTACACTACAAAATAACCTGATATTACAGCCTGAAAATATTGATCAACTGGCTCATCAACAGAAAAAAGAGTCTGAAGACAAAAATGTAAGTTCTAGGATAGTCATTATTATTTCAGTTTTATAGACTCCAAACAAATCAATACATTTTATGAACAGTGCTGCACTGCAGTTTCGGTACTCACTCGATAATAACTAACTCATTCATGCCCTTTGAACAAGTTAGTAGCTACATAAACTCAATAGACAGCATTCTGGGAGCTTGAAGCGAAAACAATGAGCTCAAATCTCAGTAAGGATGCATCAACACAGAGATGAACGCTTATCCAGCTGACAAGTCACAAATAGAACAGAACACACACCAAATATATTATTCAGTGTTTTAGTTTACAGTGACTTCTCGAACTGTTTTTTCTTACTATCGTAAAAACTGTAGGCAAATAAATAATTATGTAGCTGATCAGTTATTCAGAAACCTCAGTTTCTGTCCGGGCAAAACTAAAGTTGTAAGGTATTTTTTCCAAATTATTAGGTACAAAATTAATCAATCATGGTCATTCCAGACAGCCTAATGAGTTCTATGTTAATTGGTACAATGAATAGGTCATGTAATGAAATATTATGATTAATTTTTGAAATGTTAGGACCCTATTTTTCAGTCCACAAATATACCAAAATGATCATGCAACTGAAACACTTGGTTTCCCTACCACAACACTTTGATTTGAAAATGAGATCGATCCCAGAGCTATGAGATTTGTAGTTCACTGAGATCTGCACACAGTCTTATAGATAATTTTACAACCTCGCAGTATTACGAAGAAACTTGTTGAAACTCATATATGACAGGTTGTTAAGTTCAAAAGTTTTAAAAGTAAAGGCAGTTCCTAAAGCTGATTAACACTCATTTACAGCTAATAGTTTGATCAACTTTCAATTTTTTTAGATTTGTCAATTAATTATTGATAACAATAATAATATAACCAATAAAATGGAAACGGATCCACTTACTACTACTACCACTACTACTAATACTATCAATAATAATAATAGTAATAATAATGACGAAGATGATTCTGAAGATTATTACAAGATGAACAGTACAAGAAAAGGCATTTGTTTAATCATTAATAACATGATGTTTTGGCACTCAGATTTCCAGGTAAGTTGTGATTAAAACCATTTATAATTAATGTTATGAATAAAATATAACTGTTTAAATACATGATTTAATATAGCTTTTAAGATAGAATCTCTTTATTAAATCAAAAATTATAGAATGAATCCATGAAAGTAGAAAATGGGCTACAGAGATATGTAATTCATTTGTATTGGTTGTTTAAAGCTTTCCATTGATGTTCAGTACTGCAACTCGTCAGTCTTCGCAGATTGCTTCACTCACACCACATTTCTTGGTGCCAGTGACTCGGACGAGTTGAAAGAGCTTCCGGCATTTACCGGAAGCAGCTGCTGTTTCCAGCTCATTAGCAGGCTCCGAATACCAGGCTTCTCGATCCGTACGCAAGCTCTCCACAATTTCATTACGCAATTATTTTCCTTTATAGACGTCCGACTTGAGCATTCAAATCTTCGGCTAGTAACACAATATCTGTCGAAAGCAATTTCTATAGAAAAACAGTTAACCAGTAGTAAAACTCACCCATGATAACATCCAGGCTGCAACCTGTCGGAGTGTAGGTGGCGACGACGAGAAGACATCGTTTTTCACGCCGATTTTCTCACTTTAATTGAGCTTCCTAACCTATCAGCGCAAAACTGACTGTTAATGGTGATCTAGTCAGTTAGTACTACCTAATCCCTAGCGCCTAGTGCGAAACGAACGCCGGCAAAACTAGTAGAAAATGCTTCAGGATCCCCGAATAAACGCAAGTGGAACAAGCTTTTCTGAGCAACAGGTGGAGAACGAATCTGTAATGCCTCACTAGTCTTGAATACGAGTTTTAATAGACTACAGACATCGATTTTGAGATTTTCTAAAGACATAACTAACCTTATCTGTTTTCCGATCTATTTTGGTGTGCGGAGGTTGAAGGTCATTTTGAATAGTATACGTGTTTCAGAAAGACTTGAAGTATTCGTAGTGGGTGGTATCATTCAACTTTCGACCAGTCACTGATTTGACGTCGTTTAGACAGCTTATGGTTTCCACCATAGGCGAGCTGCTGCAGAAGCTGAAAAATAAAAGAGTACACAAAATGAGGAGAAAAGGGAGTAGATAATTGGCGTAGTATAAAAGAAACAAAAACAAAAGTTATCAGTTATGAGTGAGATTTGCCTGAATGAGCATTAAAGCAAGAGTAATTTTTCCAAAAGTAGTTATCAGTTGGTTTGCATGAGGTCCAGAACACTGTCCTGGTTCCCAAACCGAAGCAGGTAATTTTCTTAGGGGACCCCTCACCGAGTTGTTGGCCTAGAGGTCTAATCCACAAGGCTTTGGGACAACTTCAGGAGATGCAGTCCCATGGTAGCCCGTGACCAACTACAGGTTCATACGCCATCAGGATCCTGAAGCCAATGTGCATCATTGGTTTGGAGTCAGAGTTTTTTAAATCCCCCTCCGTATTTACCAACCCGGTAAGAGCGTCGGACATTCGCTTTTCATCCATTTACAATCACTAATAACCAGAGAGCACTGGTCAGCTTTTTCATCCTATCATGTAACTCATTAGCAGTGAAGATAATTAGGCAACGAGCTCCAAGACTTTCAGGGCTCTCAGTTTGTGAATAGCCTTCAAACCACCGAGTTAGTATCTAATGATGTAGATTTCTAGCTTCAGTCAATTTGTGCGTGACACTATGCTATTATCATCCATTACTACTGGGAATATCTATAGTTTATTAAATGCTCCTAACCAGTTCGTATTTATTAATTGAAATAAAAAGTAGATAAATAAGTTACCTTACTAAATTTGTGTGATCTGAGAGAAATTATCCATAAAAGACAGCAACCGATAAGTCATTGGAACTTATGAAGCACTGAACGTGCTTTCACTATATTAGGAATTGACTGAGATTGGAAAATATGAATCATTGCTCTTTGACTTCATGATTAGATTGTATCATCTCTAGCAAGTGAACCGGAATTTTCAAATCTCATAACGTGTAAAGTCACGATTATCGTATCAATAAATAATTTCAGACTAGTTTGAAGCACCCAACTAATACATTTTAATGTTTGAAAATAATTCAAGTTATGCTCTTCTGTGATGAAAAGATTGTTCAATCTAATGTCTTAGAGAAATATTGTAGTCAAGTAAATTCTATCAAATTAGTCATTGAGCATAAAATGTATTTCATACTTATCATTCTTCCGTTCCATTTATTTTCTTTGACTGTATTCATGAGATTGAATTTCCACTTCCATTGATATCATTATCATCGGTTCTTTGACTTTCGATCTGTTAATTTCGGGTTATTATTATAAATTTCTTTTCTGTTTAAATCCAGTATAAGTTTACTAACACTCAGTGTGTCAAAAGACATACTGTTCATCTGTCCCACAATCTATAAATGAGAATACCAGGAAGATCCCCTGAGCTCATTGTACTATTCTGTATGTACGAAACTAGGACATTTCTGGTGCAAAACTGAGTCAAAATTTTGTGATAAAATTACTGTGATTCATACTTGGTAAAAGATAAAACGGTGGTTAATATGACAAATAAAAGTCTGAAATTGAGACAATGTAGCAATACCATAATCCAAGTGTTTAATAAATGGAATTTTAGAATATAAGTAGTTTTCGCAGAGAATAGCTTTCAAAGTCTTACATTTTCAGTTATTCGCCCATTGCTAACAATTGTTGTAATATGAAATGTCACGATTCTAACTGATATCTAGTAGTAGCAGGTCCCACTCCTTGTATATCTCCGTTTTTTAAGTCACTTTACTATCTGACTGAACTTATACTAAGTATTTCAACGTAGTGATAGTGTCAATGATGTTTTCTCTTCATATTTCTTACAGAACCGTTCTGGGTGTGATATTGATGAGAAGAGCTTGGAAAATGTTTTCGGATCATTTAATTTTCTGGTGAAATTACTTCGTAATCTATCAGCTGGAGAAATACAAGCTCAACTGGAACACTTAGGAAAGAAAACAAATCATCATGAATATGATTGTCTAGTAATATGTCTAATGTCGCATGGAACTATTGGTCGTATATATGGAGTTGATGGAAATTCTTTATCAATACATGAATTAACTTCCATATTTACAGCTGATAATTGTCCTTCTCTAGCTGGTAAGCCGAAATTATTCTTTATTCAAGCATGTCGTGGTGAAGACTACCAAAAAGGCTATGTTATACAGAAACAATCAAATGAAATTACTCAAACTAACAATGATATAACTAATCAAGAGGATGATGTTGATAATTTTATCCAACATCCGTCATCAAATTTAAACCTGAGATTATCGGTTTCCGATGCAAAATTTATCGGTTTCAAATTGGATAATTTACTCCAAAATCCTATACCACTTCATCAAATGAACAATGTACAGTTAATTCCCACTTATGCTGACTTTTTACTAAGTTATGCAACTGTTGCTGGTTTTCGTGCACAAAGAGATCCAACCGGTGGTACTGTTTATATTCAGGCATTATGTAAACGATTATATAACGGATTACAAAATGAAAGTATTCTTGATATAGTTACAGCTGTACATCGTGAAGTTAGTAAACAGCTATATCAAGAGACATCTTGTCAGTTAATGAAAACAAATGGTGAATTATTTCTTCAAATTCCAGAAGTTAGACATACACTAACAAAGAAAGTTTGTTTTAAACGATAAAACATGGAATACAGTTTTCGAAATTATTGATTTCTATTTACTTAAAATCAATAATAACAGTGATATTGATGGTAGTAATATGGGATTATTGATTAATTGAGAAAATTTATTACATCTCGGATTATTATTCATATCGAAAAACTACATTTTACGATCCAAACAGCTAAAAAAAGTGTACGCACTGAAAAGATGAATCCCAACAAACGTTTAGTCATAAAAAATTGTCAATTGGTGAGAATCCAGACTGTAATCGCTAATTTGAGTAACTAAATAATGTTTACAGTATTGGTAATTAAAAACACAGCTAGCTAGAAGCGCTGAAGACAAATTTCTTGCATATGTGCGCACTATCAACAGTAAAACATATTTGGATATCCACTGGAGCATGATGATGATGTTCGTTGAAAAGACATTCCAAACTATTACAGTTGAACTATTCAGACACAGTTAAGTCATTAACATTCTGGTTTAATGACTTAGATTCGAACTCGACGTGAACACGCATATGAAGATATACATGTAATGCAGTACACTAAATAGTCAAATTTTAAGAACCGTGATAATGAGAATTCATATGGACATCCTACTTTTACTGATAGTCAGTAGTTATTCGGCGAACCTAACAGTAACGATTTAGACTCGAATTTTTCTTCGGCATGATTGGAAGATTGTTTCGAAGTGTAAATATAAAGCAAAATGAATTATAATATCACAGGTTTTAGTTCATATAACTAAGTTTAGGACGGCTAATATCCGAATATTTATCTTTAAGAAAAATCTTACAAAGGGGAAAGGGCACAACTGTTAACAAAACGGTAGTTAATTAATAGATTTGTCTGATATTAAATAGTGATCGTTATGTAGTGCTCCATACTAAAGTGAGAAATCGATCCACTGTTTTCCGGTGTGGAATTTAATATAGAGCAATATTATCTAGAGGCGAGCCGATCAAGGTCACACTCCCATCCGATACATGAGAATTTATGGTATCCCAGACACTACAAGTTGGGCCGGAACTTTGCGTGTGCCTTTCAAATGAGTTAACTATTTTCAAAAACGTGAGTAATGTTTTTAAGATGTTTTAACATCAAACAAGAAACAGAATTTGCTTCCTGTTAAGAGCTTAGAGAAATATAACAATACAAAATATCTTTTAAGGAATACAGTAGGAAATCACAAACGTACGACTTATTTTCAGTTTGTCAAATCATTTTAAAAACTGCATAATTTATGTACAAAATAAGACTGTAAACACGAGAAAAAATTGAAGAGTGTAAAGATTCACAAATACACAATGAAATTAACCGAGAATGGAAGAAGCACAACGTATATACACAGATAACTAAACATGTTTGGTTAATAAGACTTGAGCCTTTCCACAAATTGTAACAACAAATAAACAGTTGAAAGTCACCTAAATGTATGTGCATGTGCATGTATTTCAAGTTATTAAAGTTTAGAAAATAATGAAATGTGGAAAATCAAGCATAATAAGAGAAAATAATAAAGTTATAGACTTGACGTGAAAGAGGGAAAGGAAACATATTCACTTCTTTAGTGTAAACGATAACTTTGGTCGAATTCGCTTTTTATTTAGAATAATTTCTTGTTCTCTTTTGATACGTTGGAGCTCTTCAGCTTCGCGTCGCTGACGTTCTTCAAGTTCACGTAATTCTGCTTCACATCGTTTGCGCTCAGCTTCTTCCTATACAGAAAAGTTAATAAAAAATTGCTTTTCTTATAGTACTCTAAATTTATAATATTTGTACTGACATGTAATTTAAGGTAAATAGAACATTTCACCTAAAATCACAATGCAAAGATTAGATCGTTAGTTTCTCTCCAAGGTTACACATCATAGTTAGCAGATTAGACGGCAAATCCAACTGATGCATTACGACGCCTATAACAAGTAACACCATGAGATGTTGCAGAGTGGGGTCCGAAAATGTTAACGGCTGGAATTTGATTTTATGTTTCGAGAAAGTCAAACGATTCCAGAGAATTAAAGGGTCGATTCTCCAATGTTTAACAATAAATTCCAAGAAAATAAAGATAGAATTTCTGATTCATGAAATTTACGCTCAAGTCCTAATGAAAAAAGCATTGCCGTCACATAAACTACAAACCCATATTTAAAGCTGAATTATACGTATAAAGTGTATTAAGAATGATGACAGGGTTGAATTGTGGTAAGAAATCTTTCCTGTTAGTAAGATGTTAACTTATTAAACTGAATAAACACATTAACTCCATGTGTTTTCTTTGGGAAGATAACAGTAAGATATGACTACGGAAAGACAATATGATAGTATAGACACTTAAGTACTGCTCGCAGATAGTGAAACCAGGGAGTAAATATCCCTGGTTGAACTCAATATGTACAAAATAAATAAACTGATAGAGTTGTTCGCTTGTATTTGCTAAAGTAATTAGGGCATTTTTATTCATGATGGACGCTGTTAGCGTGGAAGCACCTTATACTTATCTTAATTTAACTAGCACCATTGAAATTTTTCGTAATGACTTCTTTCCATTGTATTATGAAATATGGTGACTGGATTGGTAAACAACCTATGTTTTGTTTGAATGATCCAGTTTTGTACAACATCGAAGCAACTTTATCTCTGGTTAGTGGACGTTTAGCTGAGTTTGAAAATAACAAGTGAAGTAGTGTATTATTTTACAAAGAAGCATAACAGTTGTTTGGGTTTTCAGTTGGGTTAGAGAAGTGGACTGAATTAAATGGCTATTTACCGGTCATGATCAATGTGACCTTAAAGAACGTTAGGTCCAGGTTTAAAGATGACAGTAAACTAAACATCATCTGCACTCTTCTTAGAACTAATGTGATAAAACTGCTAATCTAGAATACCTATAATTTAACCAAGACAATTTTTCCGTTATAATAACAAAAACAAATTATGATAATCGAAAAGCTTATTGGTCGGATGTACTGAGGTCAAGTGTCGACTGTTCACAACCTCCGATAATTCAGTAAGAAAAAGCTGATAGGCTCAGCTAAATATTTAAAACTATCAGGACAATTGATAAAACAAATCTTTCTGTAGTTGTAAAACGGTTGTCCAAAAAGTCATTGCTTTTCTAAAAACTTTGACAAGATACGTTAATTTATAAACGACGCCCATAACTTTTGAAAAATATACAAAAACACCACTGGGAGAATACGTACTTCCAAACGTCTTTGTTCTTCGAGTTCCCGTTCCCTCTCTTGAGCGAGACGCTCATTGAGCTCTTTTAGTCGCTTTTCTTCTTCCTATGTTGGCAAAGAGACATGATTTAAAGTGAAAAAGCAATATTGAAACATATACTAGTTCGCCTTATGAACAAAGAATACAGTGACCACTGGTTACGCGCATTCAGCTTCATTCAATGTCAGTTTAGATCAAATGAAGTAAGACCCCAAATGCCCTGGTACGGGTAGGAGTGGGGAGAGTCAGCTCTCGAAATGCTCTCACATGGCCACATGCATACAATTACTGACAAGGAAGTCCTATTCACTGCCTTCTCGTGGAGGTCGTTGTTTACAAAATTGAGGACGAAAAGCGAATATACGGCGCTCTAACCGGGTTGGTGGATACGGAGGGGAATTTGGAAAACCCTGACTCCAAACCAATGATGCACATTGGCTTCAGGATCCTGATGGAACGAATGGCGTATGAGCCTGTAGTTGGTCACGGGCTACCATGGGACTGCATCTCCTGACGTTGCTCCACTGCCTTGTGCATTAAACCTTTAGGTCGGAGGTTCCGGATGTGGCTCTCTAAGAAAATCACTTGCTTCGGTTTGGCCACCCGAGCATCATAACAGTCCACACACAAATCAAGTGGCTTGTGTGGAGCATATGTATTCTGTGCCCCTTCGTTCAAATAAATAAAGTAAACCATTATAGTAACATTCTATTTTTCTTTGCTTTAGTCATTTTAAAATTTCGTACTGTACTTTTTGTTACGTAAAAACTCGAGCCAGTTTACCATTGTGCCGGTAAGTTATTTAATTCATTCGATTACTCAGTAATTAAGTACAGGTTTACGTAGTCAGCCATAAGCCATACTTAAAGTTTAGGGTAATGATACCATCCGACTGCTCATTTCACTGAGCTATGGTGTTACAACTCGAATCAATGTACGCGTATCAGGCTCTACATTGCTTATGACTGGCTACATACTAGATACTAAGTTTAGATACAACTATGATAACCTGACTGTCAACCCCACAGACTTGATGGCTAAGACTAATCTTTTGAATTTTCAAACTACCCGTAATCTTTTTATCTCATGAACTATAAAGACGATGTCTAAATACTTTAAACCAACACAATTACTTTCGTCCTTAATCACATGGCTGCAGTTATTGAAGAGTTATTTCAAAGCTTGTAACTATTTCTTTAGGAGCAGTCATACATCGGTATCTACTCCTCCAGACTTGATTTAATGCCTAATAATTTAAACTGTAATTCTAATGTTTACCTTTATTTAGAGCCTCATCTAGACATATGGAACAGGAAAACCAGTCATTATGTCAGACGTTATATACGAAAACGTACTTCGCGTCGTTGCAATGCCTCAGCTTCTTCCTTAGCTTTACGTTCAGCTTCTTCAGCTCTTCGACGTAATACTTCAGTACGTTCAGCCTCCACTCGTCGTTCAATTTCGGCATTAAACTGAACTCTTCGTAATACAAGTAACTTTGCAAGCTCAGAGTCCAAGTAACGCTCCAGGCGTCGAGCGACTTCCTCTTCAAGAAGTTTGGATTCTGCCCACCGTTGACGTCTGTAAAACGATAAAAGTTGAAAATAATGTTTGACTAGACAATAGATATTAATGAAAATTGCAAAACATTTACATTGAGAACGTGAAACCGCCTGGCGACCAGATAATAATATTTTAATGTCTATTGTTAAGTAAAATTATTGTATGAAATCCATCGATTCATTTTAATACGAAGCAAAACAGCAATTATTCGGGGTTAACCCTAGTACGTGTTAGTAGGAAAATTAGTGATTTTGGAAGTTTATAGTGTGTTAATA